GGTGTACGTGGCTGGCACCTTAGCCGGTTGAGCTATAGGCGCCGAGCCTCAAGTGATTATCTTGACTCAGTCTCCTGAGTAGCTGGGACTACAGGAACCTGCCATAATGCCCAGCTATTTTTATAGATGGGGTCTTGCTCTTGCTCAGGCTAGTCTTGAACTCCTGAGCTCAAGGAATCCACCTGCCTTAGCCTCCCACAGTCTACAATTACAAGTGTGAGCCACTGTGCCTTTTATTTTACAAAATATTCGTTACAAACGAATATTGTGTTTGTGTGTTGCCCACCTCTTTGTAAAATTTTGTAATGCATATTTTATAAAGGTACATTTAGCTGTAATTTCCCATTTCCCCTATGTATGCAGACTTTATGGGTGACCTTTGGGACATCCTGTATATCACAACTTATCAACTATAGTCACTTTGTTGTGTTGTCAAATATTGTTCATTAAAATTATCTTACTATATTTTCGCATCCATTACTCATCTTCACTTTATTTGCCTCCCACCCTTCCCAGCCTCTAATAACCATCATTCTACTCTCTACCTCCAGGACACCAATTATTTTAATATTTAGTTCTCACATATAAGTGAAAACATGCAAGATTTGTCTGTGTTTGGCTTATTTTGGTTAACCTGATGCTGTCCCGTTCCAACATTGATAATATTAACTTATCCAAAGCCTTTTTTGATTTCATCATTTGTCCCTCTAACGTCCTTTTTCTGTTTCAGAATCCAACCCAGGATCCCACATTGCATTCACTGTCATTTCACTTTGGTTTCCTTCACTCTGGAGCTCTGCAGCAGTTCCTCAGTCTTTCCTGACCTTGACATTTTTGAAGAGTTATTCTTTTTTTTTTTTTTTAGAGACAGGGTCTCATCTTGTCGCCATTGGTAGAGTGCTGTCGCATCACAGCTCATAGCAACCTTTAGCTCTTGGGCTAAGGAGATTCTCTTGCCTCAGCCTCCCAAGTAGCTGCCTGCCACAATGGCCAGCTATTTTTTTGTTGGTTTGGCTGGGCTGGGTTCAAACCCGTCATCCTCGGTACATGGGGCCGGTGCCCCACTCACTGAGCCACAGGCGCCGCCCTGAAGAGTTATTCTTTAGATCAGGGCCATCCAATAGAAATTTTTTTTGCAGTAATAGACATGCTCTGTATTAGCTAATGATTAATGACAACCACATGAAAATAGCATTTGAGGCTTGGCGCCTATAGCTCAACCGGCTAAGGCGCCAGCCACGTACCCCTAAGGTGGCCGGTTCGAATCCCCAGCCCGGACCCGCCAAACAACAATGA